AACAGGAGAGGACGAATGGCGAGGGGAAAGGGTTGTTTGCGGTTTATGACAAGTACGAGGGCGGGCCGGAGGAGGGGCGACTGGGACGGTGAAGGTGCCGGAAGAGAAGGGAGATGAGGAGTGGAGGAAGGGGATGAGGGGCGGTTGGTGGTGTTTGCGCCGGGGGCGGTGTATGAGGTCGCGCCGCTTTGGGTGGCGGAGGGGAGTGATTGTGAGGGTGAGTAACTGGTGATCTGATTTGAGTCTTGAATGGGCAGGATGCTGACAGTGTGGCAGATGCGCTGGCCGATTTGGGAAAGTACAGCGGCGAGCTTGCCGATGGCGGCGTCGTCGCGTACCCTGTGCACCGTACCAAGGCCAACCGGTGGGTCGACAAGCGGGATATTGAGTTCAAGATTCAGGCCGAGGTCCTGAACGCAAACGAGGAGGCTGCCGCAGATGAGGCCGAGGACGACACTGCTGAGAAGGCTGAGGAGACAAAGAGCGTCGGGAAGGATGAGCTGTGATCTGTTGAGACGAAATGGGGGCGGAAGGGAGGTAAGAGATGTACTTATGTGGGTGAATGTCTCACACCATATACAATAGGCCCTCGCTCCGATATAGCCCCCAAAACCATCGAGATACCCAGTCAACCGTGGTCTGACCAGCCAACATCCTCTGCCAAACATGGCTCGACGAAGAAGAAGCCGGCACGTGCACAAGTCCATATATATGATTCGGATGCTAGGCTTCTCTTGGTGCAGCTCCATGCTAGAACCTGGCAGGTTGAGATTAAGAGGAGGTGTGCAGGCTGCAGGCTCCCTCCCACCACCCCGCCCACACATTACCACGGAATCCCCCCACGCTTCTTTTCCAGATTTTCTCCCTCTTTCTCAACTCACTCACACACCGGCCCTTCAAAGCATTTTTTTGCCTGCTTGCCTTCCGCGACAGCCCACTCCTCGTTACCTCCCGTTGTCACCCCTTTAGTATTGTTACATCATCCACGACTGAATTTCACTCAATCCATGGAGCCGGCACCATGCTTTGCAGGCTGCCACGAGAGATTTTTGACATAATTGTTTATAAAGTGCGTCTAGTTTCATCTTGACTTTTCTCACTTCAAACACTGGCGCCAGCTCTCTGGTATTCCTCTGTGTATCTACGCTGACGCTTCCCAGCTCAATCACGAGGATGTCAAGACGCTGTCTAGAGTCTCTAAGGCCATCAACTCCGCCCTTGGACCTCTTTTTTGGCAAGAAGTTTACGTCAGTGTGCAGTCTCTCGCCGGCAGCGCACTCCCATATAGACTGGACGCCGAGCCCATGGCTCGCTACGTGGACGCCCTTGCCCACGCGTCTACTGCAACGTACCATGCGACAAAGCTGACCTTCCACTGCGGGTTTACATTTGAATCTTACGACTGCTATGGGCCTTTGACGCTGGACCAGAGCCACGAAAAAATGTCCTCATCCGCGCCCGCGTCCTGAAGCCTATTTGCCTGACGAAGAGACTCAAGAGCAGAAAGTGCGGGCAGAACGGCTGCTCCGCTTTGGTCGTATTATTGACGGCGCAAAGGCACTTGTCGAGTCATTGCACGAGGGCCAACTGCGCTCTTTCAGGTACCTACGGTTCTCCTCAATCGACTTCTGTTTTGAAGGCGAGAGTTCTAACTAAGGAATGCAACTAGGACGTCCAAGCCTGCGCACCACCCGATCTCATTGAGCTCCTAGCCAAAAAGCACCCGGGTTTAAAGTCTATCCAGTTGGCGACAGTAGATCAATGCCCTAGGTTTCTAGGAGACGCTTCTAGTACCATCGACCTCTCTTCCTTCCAAGGCCTTAAACGGATTTGCTTGACGCGGCCCCTGTTCTGCAACTTGAAGCCATCCAAAACAACCGCGCCCATCTCGAAGAACTGAAACTCGTGGGAGTACCAGGGTCATTTAGTCCATTTAGTCCCACGGCCGGATCCTACGACCCTGACGACAATTCAGACTATCCAGACACGCTGACTGACATCCTTCTGGCACCAAACATCCCAACTCTTCCCACCCCAATTTTTCCCGCTCTCCAGGTCTTATCGCTTCACTATGTTGAGCTCGGAGCCTTCGAAGACAGGCCAGGAATGTTGGAAGCAATTAACTTTCGCAATCTATCCTCGCTTACGCTGCGGGACTGCTTCAACTTGAGGTTTTTTTTTTAGATCTTTTGCAGAGTCACAGACTCCCATCATCAATCTGAAGTATCTCGAGATCAAGTATCTCGACTATAGCCGGGGCGATGCCGAGCTTACCCAGTTTGTCGGATCTTTTACGGGACTGGAAACTCTTCTTGTCGGGTTTTCGGACGATACCTGGTCCGGGTCTTTCCGAGCCAACCCCGATGATCCTCCCACACCCAGATGTTCACTTTGGGGGGTTGTGGGACGCCATCGAGCAACTCTCAAAAAATTTGTCTATCACAGAAGGCTTTTTATAAACGTTTGTTACAAATGGGCAAAACATCGGGATAGTCTCCACGATTGTGTTCACCTAGAAATTTCCTCCCCTAGGATTGGAAGGACAGCCGATCTCTCCTGGTGTCAACCCTTTCAGCGGCATAAACCTGGAGTTTATCGGACTATCCACTGACTCGGGCTCAACGGTTCGTTTCCTCATTTCGAAATCTGATAAACAGGTGCTAACACTCTCTCAGCAAACCCTGCTAGAGCCTTTCGCGCGCAAGTCCAGTCTGAGGCTTCTTCACCTACGGCAGACAGGATCAGACAAGATGCGCGGAGATACGTGCTGCAGAGCCCTGGGTTTTGAGCCGGCCTCTCAAAATGATAGCTACGGATGGGAGGTAGAGAAGGATATTTGGGAGGTAACTGATCAAGTACTGGCAGTTCGCGTCAAATCCGTGTCCCACGATCTGCTGCAAGACATTCTCAAGCAACCGTTCCGCCGCCTCCTCGACTGGGCCTTCGGCCCGGACGGCATTCCATCGCTGGAGGTTGTCGCTGCAGGCGACTTTGCCCACGGCCGCAACGGCTACTCTCTGCACAACATCTTTGTTTGCAAGAATAGCAAGAGCAAGGAAGCAGGTGGCTGCGGCTATCGGGTGTTTGATGCGCGGGACGAAGAACACAGGCACGAGTGGCAAGCGCTTGTTATGCCATTTCAGCAGGCTCTTGAGGCATGCCCAGTTGGCCCGCCTTGGGGCAACAGCGTTTACGAGCATAAATATTTCTTCTAGGAGCGTGGCCTGGTCTTTTGAATGACAGGAGTTTTCAATTTCATTTTCAAAATTTTGAGGCGATGTGAAACTTTTAGATTGAATAAGTGGCTGTTGTTGAGCGAAAACAAGGAATCTTGGGCTGTGTGACTATAAGTCCTCCGTTAGTCTAGCAAGTTCATTCTTCTGTATTGAAGCCTGTGGTCCTTTCCTTTTGCACCTAAGTTGCTGCCAGAGCCTTGGGGTGTTGACCACTAATAAAAAGAGCAACCGCGCAGAGAAATGATGTCACTGCACCACCCGAGAGTCGACTGCCTCAACCTAAGAACACACTTCCGTTTCATTTCCATTCGGGACTAACAAAAGGATAAAAGTTTACGGCCAGAGGGAAACCTGTTTTTTGTCTCCTTCGTGCGTCAAAAACGAGAGGATTTGAACCATATACCGGCCTTCAAACCATCGCGACTCAAGATCTTCTCGTCTTTCCCGGCTTCTTCCAAGGTCAATTAAACTCAGATCTATAACTTTCATCTTTCTTCAATAACGGATCATGGCCTCTCAGCATCTCCTCGCGCTTGCCCGGCCAGCATCAAGCCGGTTACTCGGCTCTGCAACCCGCTTCAACCCGGCATGCGCCTTCAGGGCTCTCACAACCACCACAAAGCTGTTCGACATACGCTCTCGGCGAACTGCGCCGCCAGGCCAGCCGAATATTATGCTTGAGGATGAAAATGCATTCGGATTCGCTCGTCACAACTCCCGTCCGCCAAAACCGCGAAAGATCGGCGTCACCGAGATCAGGGGCCCATACTACTCGGCCATGGGCAAGCAGTATTTGAAGGATGTACTGGAGACGTGAGTCCTTCCAACCGCAACAGAAAGTTCAAATGACGCTGACTGACAGCTCACAGAATGGGCCACCATATTGACGGACTCAAATTCGCCGGCGGTTCCTTCTCTCTCTTCCCCGAGGACAAGCTGCGCGAGCTGATTGACCTGGCCCACGAGCACGGCGTTTACGTCTCAACGGTATGCCCTTCCCCCCTACTCCGCCATCCCATATCCCAACTCACTGACACGGTCTTCTGCCCGTCAGGGTGGTTGGATGGAGCACATCCTCCTGCAATCCTCCCCCTCCACCGCCGTCACCCGCTACCTCGAGACGTGCAAGCGCCTAGGCTTCGACGTGATCGAAATCTCCTCCGGCTTCCTGTCCCTCCCCGCCGACGACTGGCTGCGCCTCATCCACAAGGTTCACGCCCACGGGCTCACCGCCAAGCCCGAGATCGGCATCCAGTTCGGCGCTGGGGGCGACACAGACGCGGCTGAACTCGAGGCCCTGGGTGGCGGCACCTCGGACCCGAGCAAGGTCGTGAATCTGGGCAAGCGGTTTATCGAGGAGGCGGGAGTAGAGCGGATCATGATTGAGAGTGAGGGGATTACCGAGAATGTGAAGGCGTGGAGGACGGATGTGATTCAGACGATTCTGGGGGCGGGCGGGTTGCCGAAGGAGAAGGTCATGTTTGAGGCGGCGGAGCCGAAGGTGTTTAATTGGTATGTCAGGGAGTTTGGAGCGGATGTGAATCTGTTTGTGGACCACTCGCAGATTGTGCAGCTAAGCTGTTTGAGGGAGGGGATTTGGGGGATGGGGGATACGTTTGGAAAGGTTGTTACCTTCACGGGATGAGTGGGATGAGGGAAAGATAATTGGAGGGGAGACATTGAGACGGGGGGGCATGAGTATGCCGGCAAGGCGGGCAAAACGGAGAGACCAGACAGCCAAAAAAGAATGGTGAATCACTGTATCTCTCCCGCCGGGAATTGAACCCGGGTCTCGAGCGATGTCTTGATCGCAACTCCTGAGAGTTGAAACCAGGTGACAAGCTCACATACTGACCACTATACTACGGAAGATGAGTGGTTGTGTGGCAACCACCGTAGCGCAGAGGCAATGATTCGGTCTCTCCCACCGGGAATTGAACCCGGGTCTCGAGCGTGACAAGCTCACATACTGACCACTATACTATGGAAGAATTGCAAGTGTGGACACTTGCTATAGCCTGGACTGATTGTTGGGACTCTGGGAAGATGGGGGTTATTTAGTTTGGACTGGGCGTCGAGGGATGAGGGTTTTTCGTCTGAAACTCCACAGGGCTGTGGTCTCGGCCGCCATGGTTCCGTACAGAATTGGAGACTTGGAAAGATGGTTCCACTTGGGGTCTGCTTGGGAGCATGGACTCCCATCCTTCTATCTCGACTCTTCAGACAATTGACTTTTCAGACAAGATGCGAGTTCATGAGACGATGCCAAAAGACTGTGGCTGACGGCACTGAGACCTGAAGCATGCTAAATTCTTGACAATTCTTGACAACAGCGTTGTTCTCGCTACTCCCCATGACAAAAAAGCACCAGCAAAGGAAAGCAAAAATGGAGCCACAAAAACGAAGCTCCAGAAGCAAAAGATGTGCGCCCTGATCTGATAAGGGACTTTGGACGATCCACCCAGGGGTCGAACCTGGAACCTCCTGATTACTTGAGCTCTTGGGATCTGATGATCTTTAGATGAGTCGTAGTCAGACGCTCTGCCATTGAGCCAGCGGACCTTGTTGGATTTACTGATTGAAACTTGAAATGAAGACTTTGCTGAAGGTGGGACCCAGGCGGAGCTCAGGGGTCCAGGGGTCCAGGGGTCCAGGGGTCCAGGGGTGGTACAATTTAGGTTTTGTTCTAGAGGATAACGTTAGTTATAGAAAATGTATGCTAGACGACCAACTACGGTCTTCCAGGGACCGAGACCCAAGGTCTTTTTAATTCTCCAAAGCCTCAAAAACCAAATCAAACACCAGGTCTCTACTCTAAGAAGTCGAACTTGGTCAAAACCAGGGAATCTTATTATCGTCATCTTTGCATCGCGAATGTTGTATTAACGTTAATAACCGAGGAAAAGTGGTCAGCTTACAAAACAAAACAAGTTGGAATGCGACTTAGTACTTGACTATTTGACAATGCTTCAAGAGGTTTACTAGGTTTCTGCCAGAACTACAATCGCAAGCCATGAGTTTGGGACGAGCTGTAAACCCAGATTGCATCTCAAGTTCCAAGAGTCACAAAGTCTAGGGTAATCCAAAGATTTGCTTAGAACTGGAGATTATGGCTGCTCAGCGCTTTCCCTAATTACTCACTCGATTAACCATTCTAAGAAAAGTCGTAGGAGAAGCTTGGGATAAAGGTCTTGGATATGATGGACAGCTTCGCCTAGTTTAGTCATTGAGGTCGTTATGACTGGATTGATTGTGTCAGGAGATGATGCTTCTCCTTTTGTGTTGAAGGTCGATGGCTGTGAGGTAAGCTCACGGCTATGGCCTTATCTAATCTACAAGTGAAGTGGTCCACAACCCTAACCCTGGTCTTCAGCCCAGTGATCCAGTTCCGGTATCAAATGCCGGCCCTCAAGAAAAACCTCGCAATGCCCTCATTGCCCACTATCCCCCTTTGTCTTCCGTGATCCTCCATATCCTTGTCCTTTTCTTTCTGGCGTCAATTGCTAGGGGTTAGCAGACGTACGCTACGGCGAGGGGCAGAGGTCTCAGGGACCGGTATAAGCGGTGGGGCGTCCGTCTGGTTCTTGCGAGGGCGACCACGCGGCTTGGGCGCGGGCGCGGGCGAGGGTGTTTTAGCCGAAGGCTGAGACAGCTTTGAAGTTCGTTGCAAGATTGCGTTCTTCTCGGAAACCGCGTTCTTGGCCGTAGTGGCAGCGTGCGGCCGGGCTGGCCTGCGCGGGCGGCCGGGCTTGCCAGGCTCAATGGCCGGCTGGCCTCCCTGACGAGCCCAGTATTCGTCAATGAGCTTCTGCGAGTGGCGCAGCTGATGAGCGCTCTTCCACTCGTTGTTCTCCTGTCCCCAGCCCTTCCATTTGATCAGGTACCGGAATGTACCACGCGTAACGCGGTGCTTCAACACGACTTCGACTTCGTACTCCTCGCCAGAGCCGGAAGCCGTGGAGGGCTGTGAGTCCGAAACCTCAACCGGTCCAGGAGCTGGGATTTGACGATTGAACGGGTCCTTGTCGTCAGGCGTGGGCGCCAGGTGCGCCACTGAAATGACGGGGTGGATGTTCATGTTGTCGGGCAGGTCGAGCTTGTAAGCCAGGCGACCAACGCGCTTGGTGATTTTGAAGGGTCCCGCGCGCTGTTGTGACAGCTTGCGAGACGGCCGACCTGGAAGATGGTAACCGTGATGCAAGCGCAAGTACACCTTGTCGCCGACGTTGAACTCAATGGGCCGGTGGTCATCATCGTACCGGCGCTTGGCCCTGGCCGCTGCAAAGTCCATGGCCAATAGAGCATCCTGGCGCAGATGCTCCTCAGAACCGGGATGTCGGCCGCCCTGTCATGCGGCGCGACCAACGCGTCGAGCGGACCGGCGGGCTTGAAGCCGAACAACTGTTCGTGAGGGGAGGACCGAATTGGCGCCGAGTACCCACTGTTCAAGTTCCACTGCAAGGCCGGTAGGATGTCGGTCCAGGGCGCTTCGGGCCTCTCGAAGATGAAAAAGCGTAGGGCGATCTCCACCGTTTGGTTCTTCCGTTCGGCCAGGCCGTCGGCTTGAGGGTGGTAAGCCGCGGTCATCAGCAGCTTAGTTCCCAAGGCCTTCCACATGCCCTTCCAGAACGCGGATGTGAACTTCATCCCGGTCGGAGATGATGGCGGAGGGTACGCCCCAGTCCGACAGGAGGAGGTGACGCATCATGACTTCGCCCCATTCTTCTGCGGTATATGTGCTATACCCGGGGATAAGCAGGGAGCGCTTAGAAGACTTGCAGGAAATGGTGAGTAGGCTATCAAATTCCTTGTGGTTCTTCAGTTGCCAGGCCGAGCCCTGTGCTTGGACCGTCGGAAGGCCTACAATGAAGTCGATGGAAATGACCTTCATGGGCACACTATCGCTAGGCCTGATGGGCTGGTAATTCCCAATGGGGGCCTTGCGGTCTGTGGCGTTGAGGGCGCATCCCGGGCAATGGCGTATATACTTCTTCACCAGGTGAGTTTTTTCGTGGATTGACAAGCCACGCAGGTCATAGAGCATCCGTTCCATTCCAAAGTGGTGCTTATTGTCATGAATCGCCTCAAGAACATGTTTGACCATTGCGTACGGGACGCAAAGAACGCGTGAGCCGTCGGGCCGAATGTTGTATAACAGGTTGTCGGCCATTACGAAAGGCAGGCCGGGCTTGGAAAAGACCTTCCCACTGTCCTCAGTGTGGCAATCCCCGAGATCTTTGATGATGTTGGCGTATTTTGTATCGCTCTTGTACCCTTCAATGAAGCCCTCCTTCAATTCGCTGTCCATCTGCGCCTCGGCGTAAGCGAACCAAATGTTGTCCAGAATAGCCTCCCCACTATCCCTCTCTGGCTTGTCTTGCATTGCGCGTAGACGACTGAGCGCGTCGGGCACGAAGTTGAGCCGGCCTGGGATATGGAAGACCTTTAGGTCGTACTGCGAGAGGTAAATAGAGGCGTTGATGAGGCGGCGATTTGCGCGGTCGGTGGAGCTTGTGTCGAGGCTGGTCTGGCACGTAATACCTTTGGTTGAAGAGTGATCAGTTAGTACATTGACGGACAGGCGCGATGAATGAATCTTCCGACGGACCGTACCGAAGTTCCTCCTTCACGAGGCAACGGCTAAGGAACATGATGGGCCAGGTCTTGTTCGCCGGGATGACAGAACCGGGTGTCCATTCATAACCGTCAACGAGGTGGAAGGCCATCACTCCACAACCCCGTTCGAGGCAGCCGTCAATCTGCAAGAATAGCGGCTTGAGCGGGTTGAAATGAGAGAGGATGGTTGGATGCTCCTTGCAAATCGCGTTTTGCACTGCTTCGAAGGAAGCCTTTTCCGCCTCAGTGGGCTCGAAGGTGGTGCGGGCGCAGTATGCAATGCGTTTGCCGTGATTGCCGGTCTCCAGCTGGCCAGTTTTGCGGCCAAGTGCCAGCAAAGTGGTCTTGCGATCTTGAAGAGGCTCAACGAGCTGTGCGTAGTAGGGAATCAGGTGGCGCAAGAAGCCGGTTGCGCCGATATACTGCTCCAGAGCCTTCAGAGAGTCCGGGAACGCCAGTTTGCGAAAGGCCGCGACCTTGTGCGTGGTGGTCAGTCCGAAGCCGTCGACATGGAAGCCCAGCAGCTCAACACTGGGATAACCGATATAGGACTTGGTCGGGGAAATGGCGATGTTGCGGTCGCTGAACATCTTGAAGATAGTGTCCAGGTGTCGCTTGTGCTCCTCTGCAGTGTCCGAGTAGATTGTGATATCGTCGATGAAGGCACGAGCAAAGTGGCGATGCTTCCGGAGCATTTGATCCATGAACCTTTGCACGTACGCGGGCGAGTTGCGAAACCCCATGGGGGCAACCTTCAGCTGTTCCAGGCCGCGGGGGCTGACAATCGTAAGCCGGTCGCGATGAGGTGGAAAAACGCCGAATTGATAGAAGAAGGAGACTGCGTCGATGGTCGTGATATACTTCTTGCTACGCAACTCGTTAATGATCTCTGACTGCAAGGGAAGAGGGTAATTGTCTGGTACGACCACGCGGTTGAGTGGTCGCAAGTCGATCACAACTCTGCCCTTCATTTTCCCTTTGGCGTGCCGCCAGACCACGAACACAGGGTGGGCGAAAGGCGTAGCCTTGTGAGCCCAGCCCATACGGTCTTGCTCGTGGAGCGCGTCGAAGATCTTGTCGAGGACCTCACGATCGCGCGAGGAGAGTGGATATTGACGGGCGCGGATCTTCTGATGCTGCCAACCTTCGACCAAAGGAATCTGCATCAGGTCGTCCTCGGCCATTTTGACGAGGCCTTCGTCCTTCCACAACTGGGGGTATTTCTCAACGAGGCGCTTGAATTGCTTGGCAAGCTT